GCAGGGGCAGCTGTCCCCGCATCCTGGTTAGTGAAGGGGTCAGGGGGAGCTCTAGCCAAAGGCAAACGGCAAAACATATAGGTATTTAGAATTCATTTTATTATGATGATAGAGACACTGGCAGGCTTCTAAATTGCTTTAACACTGTAGAAATATCAATAAAACATTGCCCAGCTGATGGCTGTCTTTCTGTCTCTCACTCACTCTCTCTCTATGGTGGTCTTTTGTTTTAATTGTGGAGGAATGTGGATTTGGGGTATTTTACAGAGTGACTTTGGGATTCTTTTTTTATCAAGGGTTTTTCAGTTTTCAAATAGGGAACACCAGAATTTCTGCTATGGAGGCAAGTGGCAGGACCCAGGCAGAGGAGCCTGCTCAGAGTGGGCACGTTGGACCCAGCTGGCTGTGGCTGACCTCCTGGCCAATTGGAGCCAGGAGGACATGCTTTGACAGTTCAAAGCAGGCCACCATACCCGGAACATCTTCCAGATGACAGCTGCCCAGATGGCCGGGCAGGGGCACACATGGCAGTAGTGCTACACAAAAGGCCAACCCTGCAGCCACTGCCCACTGGCAGCTGGCCCAGAGGGGCAGATGCCTCTACTGGCTGCGCAGTTCCCATCGGATCTGGCAGGTGTGCAGCAAGTCACAGCCAGGCAGCAACCCCTACTGCTAGACTTCTGCAGTGGGTAGAGGGTGCAGGAAACTCTCAGGGTTGCTTCAGCAGTCCAGCTGGCACAAGGGGTAGTGTTCCCAGGTACCAATTGGCTGGGCCCCAGAAGCTCCTGAGAGCTAGTAGCCCTGAGCTGCTTGCCAGGCCAGCTTTTTGTATTGCTGGGGCCAAGACAGGGCAGTTTTTTATACTGCTGGGGACAACACAGGTGCTGGCCCTGGGCTCTAGCACCCCCTGGCTGCAGATCTGGGAGGAGCCAGGCAGGGTTATTTTGCCCCAAGTGGCACAATTTGCCCCACACCAAAGTGCATGTCCAGGCACATGCGCTGAGGCAAAAAGCCCTGGCTCGAATTTGCACCGCTTTTATTTGAGCTGCTGCAAGCGCACATGCCTGCATGAGTGGACACGCCCTTGATGTCCAAAAGCTTGTTCAACCACTCCCGAAATGATAAACATGGTTCAGTAAAAGATACCATGAAAATCCTTGCCTCTTGTACACACTTTCTGGACCATCCCAACTACAACAACACTCCAACCCTAATACCATTTTTTGAACTATAAATTTCATTTTTAGGCTCAAATGATTTGCCAGTTTTGAATCAAATTTTCAGATAGATTCAGTCCTCCCACTACTGTTTTTTTTAAAGAGTGAATATATTATTTGCTGAAAACTTTCACCCATTTTAAACTATGGCTGATATCCCTCTATCCTGTACACTATCTGAATTTCAGATCAGAGAAGCTGAACCTACTAGTTTTCCACCTGACTCATGTTTCCAATTATTCTTTTGTCCTGGACCTCTCTTAGAGTCTTTTGGCATACACTGAACCTCTATTATAATTACTTATTTGTATTATGGTTCCATCTAGAGGCCCAGCTGAGATAAGAAAATCACTGTACTATGTACTAGATAAACACAGTGAAAGAGAATCTATGCCTGAAAAGAGTTCACTATTTGATTTGAAAGAAAGATGGAGTGACCTGCATATGCTCATCCAGTTGAACATCATAGCCCTTTCTTTCAAAGGACAGGCAAGTCCTTTCTTTAAAAAAAGATGGGTGGAGGGGGCAGTGTCTCTTTTTATGCAGTAGCAAAGTGACAAGAGATCTCACTTCAGGACCTGGGAGATCTGGATTCAGTTTCTTTGTGTGTGTGGGATGTTTCAAATCCACACTTGCTAGGAGAGCCCTAACCACCAGGATACAGTCATGGTCTCTGCTCACCCTAGAGCAGTTATTCCATGTTGGCTGGAAAAGTTTTACCGGGAGGGATAAAATCATCCTTCTCCACCCCAAAACATAACCCAGCCTATGATCCTGTGGTACGGGCACTTTGCTGGTGGGGAGCAAATGTAGGTTGGAATCCTCTCAAGTAAGTAAGAATCTAGGACTCCCACATCCTAATTATGTACTCCAACCAGCAAGTTATTAGGGGAAAATGGATCACTACCTCCTCTGGCTGCTTTTGTGCAGAGTTTGATCGTGCAGACATGCTCTGAAAATATATGCTATATTTGGCCCTGCAGACAAGACAGAAGATTGGGCATCTCAGAGCATGAGATGAGTGCTCAGCTGCTCAGCACTGCTCAGACTGAGACACTGTAGGACATTCCAGGAAGTTTGCACAGAACTGGCAAAAGCTGAGGTCCCTAAGGATTTGGGGTACTTTTGGGATCAAGCATCAGCTGAACTTGAGTTCTGAAGATTGCACTTTTGGTTTGAGGTGCCAAAAATTGGAGTTAGCAGGGCCTTGAGCCCCTAAGGCCTGATCAAGCCTGTTTTGGCCAGTGCCCTATCTACTCTCCTATAAAGCAGCAAGGGGGAAAAAGCAAACAAAATGAAGAATTTCCCAAAACTCCAAAATAAGGCCATGGCAAACCAGAATCAGCTTGAACACCTTGTGTGCAGAATCCCTCTGCCTCCCTGATGCAGTCTGCCTCACTATGCTCATTTCTTACAATGAGAATACAGTTAGGTCATGATTCAAGAAAATGCTTGAGCATAATAAAGCATGTGGTGCTATTGATTTCAAGTCAACACATGCAATTGATGACCTTACTGAATTGGGGCATAAGAGCATAATCTCCTTGGGACAAGAAGTATTTCTCATTTTAATTATTCTGATAATTATTTTAATGTATATAGCTGTACAGCACTGTGCATTTTTGGCATTTAATCAACAAATGACAAAAATATAGCATTTGCCAAAGGATTACCACAGGGGTTTTAACTGCCTTGTTAGCACAGTTACATCCTACACCTCTGTTTAGGACAATTTTCCCTTTTGTCCCCTGATAAAGTTTAAAGGACCAGAATAAAAATCAGGAACTTGAGTCACATCTCAAGTTCTCCCACGTAATTCCAGTGACTTCAGCAGAAGGAAGGTCTACTATTATATAGAACAGATCACACAAAAGTGATTTTCACGGATGCAAATGAAATCAGGATCAGATTCTGGATGGAGTATCCATTAGAATCAATCACTGATATTCTTGCCTTCTGTAGATAAAAGGTATCTTTCTGCCCTGTGTTTAATTCAGGCACCCTGGTTCTTTCACTTTCTCCCAAAGATCATTATCCAAGAAAGAAGGCAGGAAACCAGCTGCATGCATTAGACAACACAGAAGGCTATATGGAATATTCAGCTACATCCTCCACATATAAGGTTTATAAAATGAGTAGCTACAACTATCTTACATGCATTTAAATAAAAAGCATAAGACTGATATGATGCAATGACACCTTGCACCCTGTTCTGGAAAGTACTAGAGCCCAACACTGTCAAATGTATACTGTACCTCCCAGTCCAGGACTGAGGCCTGCCACTGAGCTATCTTGTCAATGTTCTCCAGTCTCCGTTTTCGCTCATTGATCTGTTGAGTCACGTTTCTCATGACTGCAAGTGCAGCAGCCACGTACCTGTAGTCACTGGAAAAGACAAAAAGGAGCACATGAAGTGACACCCGGCATGCGGTGAACATGTACAGGAGTCTGTCAACATTAACAGCGTTGTTGAAAGACCAGTTGGAAAAGATCATCAGGATTTGGCACCTGTTGCTACTACTGATATAGATCTTCCTCCACCATTGGCTTTTTTTCTATTGTCCCCCAAAATTACCTTATTTCAAACTAAGGTTGAATGAGAGAGAGAGAGAGAGAGAGAAAGAGACAGAAACATGAGTAATATTAACTGGTCAGTAACATAGCAACTTAGCTCCTGTATATCAATGCAGTTCCATTGGTGCCAGTGGAGCTGTACCCATCGATAGCAGGCATAGGTCTCCCCCTGTAAGTGCTAAAGGTTCCTGGGCCATCTAAACATTCCTAACTCCAACAGATGCTAGGAGACCTCAGGCTGTGCTTGTTTTCCACTTTTTAAAGAAGAGTTGAATTTTTAATTTTTTTTTAAACTTTATTCCTTAATAAAACTTGTTTCCCTATCACATTGATTTATAAGGAATGAATATGATGCCCCAAAGACACTTCTGGACACATCATTCTCAGGTCATCTGGGATAGAATGGGTTAGTTCTGCAATCAAATTATATGGATGAGTAATATGAGCAATTTTTTTCTCTCTGTGGATATATGTGTGTGTATATATCTATATATAGCAAATCCCAGGACGTCATTCTCTCATTGTACTCAGCCTTGGTGAGGCTGCAGCTGGAGTACTGCACCCGGTTTTGGGCTCCACAATTCAAAAAGGATGTGGAGAAGCTTGAGAGGGTGCAGAGGAGAGCCACGCGCATGATCAGAGGTCAGGAAAACAGACCTTACAATGACAGGCTAAGAGCCATGGGACTTTTCAGCCTGGAAAAGCGCAGGCTCAGGGGTGATCTGGTGGCCACCTATAAATTTATCAGGGGTGCTCATCAGGATCTGGGGGAATGTCTGTTCACCAAAGTGCCCCAAAGGATGACAAGATCAAATGGTCACAAACTCCACCGTGACCGATTCAGGCTGGACATAAGAAAGAACTTCTTTACTGTTCGAGCCCCTAAGGTTTGGAACAGACTGCCGCCGGAGGCGGTTCAAGCACCCACTTTGAACTCCTTCAAGACACATTTGGATGCTTATCTTGCTGGGATCCTACGATCCCTGCTGACTTCCTGCCCCTGGGGCAGGGGGCTGGGCTCAATGATCCTCTGGGGTCCCTTCCAGCCCAAATGTCTATGAAATATAGATAGATCTATCTATCTATCCATCTATTGGTGCACACCTACATTTTTATAGCTCCAAATGAGACTTCTGACTATCTCCTCCTGGCATATCACTATTCTTGATGCCTGTAAAGTCAGGACAAAATATTGGGAATGTAATGATCTCTCCTCTCAGTCTATTCTTGCAAGTCCTGGCTAAGGACCTTACTGGCCTGAATGTTTGTCTATGCTTGGCTTTGAATAATAAAATGAAGTATGTGTTTACTGGAGCCCCAAAAGAATAGTCTGTCACTATAAGGCTGCAGTCTCATAACTCATTATATCAGGATTGAGTGCAGATATAACTAACCTGGTCAGCAAAGAATACACAATAAGTAATTGATCTTACAATCCTTAAGACATAAGGCTGGAACCTAATTTGTTTGGCTGTGACAGGCTCCTTCCCGACCATAGAGACACTCAAAAGAATGGTGCACAACATTTATCCTGTAGCATTTGCTCATACTGCAGATGCTATGTGAGCAAATCAAAGCAATTTTTTTTTGCTTCCTGGACATGCATGTGTGTGAGTTTAATAACATAGAGTGAAAATAGCCTCCCATCAGGGCCAGCAAGGATGATGATCGGTCTTTTCAAAAAGTGATGCTAAAATCAATGGTATTGATTTCCACCTTGTGCCTTATTTTCCATTTCAGGAGACCTTAATGCTCATTTAATTTGGAAGGACAGACAAGGCCAGCTGCCATAATGTTGCCATAATTTATGATTAACTTAAGGGTTGATATTGACTGCTGACTAATGAGAAAAATGGAGATCGCCGGCAGCTGCAGAGGAAATGGCTCTATTGGTTATTGCTCAAGATCCTACTTGTGGTGTTTAGAACAGACCATAAAAACTTTGTGTTCTAGTAGATCTCTGTATTCTCATTCTCTGGCCTACACAAAGCATACCCCATATAAGGAGAGTCATTTATAGACCAAGACTGGCTTCTACTCTCCCTGGTGTCATCACGCTGTTCATTACATTAAAGAAATAGCCTGTCAATTTAAGCCAACTCCACTGTTATTGCTGTAATATACTACACTAGGAATTTTTGTGATAGGATTTTCTTCAAGATCTGCAGACTTGTAATTTTAGAGCAATAAATACCTCAATACTGGATAATGAAAACTACCAATCCACTTATAGTTCACAGTTTCTCTCATCTGACACTCCCAGAGAGAGAAGCTATCATACCACCTTAATAGATAACCTAGGTAGGGAAGAAATTTAGAAGTTATTACAATAAATTACATTGCATCATTTTATGTTTTATTTTAACATTATTATAGGATCAAATCCTAAGGTCCTTTTTCAGTGCTTGCTTGGCCATTAGGCCAAGTAGGTAACTCGCCACCTGAACACAAGAGAGCAGGTTGACATTGTATAAATAGACTTCCAAAAGGCCTTTGATTTCGTATCCCAAAATGTCCTCGCGAGAAAATTGGAGGATCGTGAGCTTAACTCCGAGGCAGTCAGGTGGGTGAGCAACTGGCTGCAGGGTAGTACCCAGAGAGTCTTAGTGAATGGATCTGTGTCATCCTGGCAAGAAGCGGGCAGCGGTGTCCCATGGGGGTTGATGCTTGGTCCAGTACTTTGTAACTTCTTTATTAACGAATTGGAAGTGGGGGTGAAGAGCTCACTGGCCAAGTTTCTGGATGACACCAAGTTATGGGGAGTGTGGTCATGCTTGAAGATAGGTGTGAGAAAGAGAAAGAGTCCCAGGGCTCCAGATCACAAGGGCTAAACAAAGGCTCAGCGACCCCAGGTCCACAGCCCCAAAGACCCTGGCAGAAATCTCCCTTACCCAGGTGTTTCTGGAGGGGAGGGGCAGGGAGCTCCAACGCTGGTATAAAGAGCCCG